CTGTGCCTTGAGGATGTGCTTTCTAAGCATTCAGTGATGCTTCTGCTTGTACGGTGGCTGACTATAGCCAACTGGATTGGCCATCTGACGTCTCTATCACAGTGGGCCATTTATCCTACCCAGATACAGCCTCAACTGGACCCTTGTCCCTACAGACCATAGTGCCCAGCTTACCAGATCATTGTTCCATCCTCTGGTCTTTAGTTTTGTGTTTCCTTATATTATTCTGAAATGTAGCTGATACATTTCAGAATGATCCACATTAAGGGCATCGAAGAACAGATGTGTTCAGGTAAATTAAAAAAAAAACAAAAAACAACTTTTTTTTTAGTACTGGGATCAAGCCCAGGTCCCACACATGCTATGCAAACACTATCACTGAGCTACACCCTGCCCCTGACCAATTTAATAAGTAGCTAATGTTTACATTACCACCCCAAAGGTCAAAAAAATGGAAATGCCACTCCCACTGCCAAGCCCTTCCACTATCACACCCTCTACCACAGATTTTTTTCTTATTATTGACTTTTTTCCCCTGGTGCTGGGGATGGAACCCAGAATCTTGCCCATGCTCAGCAGGTGCTCCACCACTGACCTACACTATGGACCTACTACTAACTTTTGCAATAAGCATTCCCTTGTGATTTTTTTTTTTTTTTTTTTTTTTGCACAGCAATGGGCACTGAACTTGCAACCCTCCTTAGCCTTCTTAGTAGCTGGGACTCTAGGTATGCAGAACTATGCCTAGCTTCTTGGTTTCCTTTCTAGACTTACCATCTATATAGGGATCCTTAAGCAAGAATTCACTTAACTTTACATGAGCGGACCCCATCTTTTTGTTGGTTTTTCACCACTGTGCAGCTTTATTTACTTATCTATCCTCATACTGAGAACCACCAGTTGTGTCCCATTGGGGGCTATTATAATCAACAGAACTATGCACACTCACAAATGTCCTAGTGCAGGTGTTCAGGAGCTTCTTCAAGGCATAGTCCTAAGAGTGGAATTGCCAGCTCACAGGGTGTGTCAGCTTTGTAAAATAACGCCCAAGTGTTTTCCCAGAGTGCTCACAGTAATTCACACTCCCACCAACACAGGAGTTCCTGTTGCTCCATATGCTCAATGCTTGTTATTGTCCGACTTTTTAAGATTCTTGCCAATTGGGTGGGTGTTGATGGGATTTGCTTTTCTGATTACTAATGAAATCAAGCCTTTTCACATGCTGTTAGGGTATATTTTCTGGGACTGCCTTTTATGTCTTTTGCCAGTTTTTCTATTCTTTCCAACTTTTTCTTGACCACCGTTCCACATGCTCTGGGTTAGATACTTTATATTTTTTCAAATATCTTTTCCACTCCAGGTTTGTCCCTTCACTCTATGATTTTATATAGAATTTCTAATATTAATGTAGTTTTGTCAACTTAATCTCTTAATTTTTCTCTATCTTGACGTCCCTGAAAACTCATATTATCCATTTGTTTTAATACCCATCAATTGTGCCTCTTCAGCCAGTAGAGACTGTGTGAACAATTTGTTTATACAGCAAGTAAGTCGCTGTTCAATGATGGTCTGTTGAAGGGATGAATGCCAAGCATGAATGGGTGGTATACAGCTAGCATTTCATTTGATCCCTAAAACAATCTCATTTCCTAAGTGGGAAAACTGAGACTCGAGAGGGACTAAGTGACATGCCCAAGTTACAGTCTGAATTAGCCTGGCTATTTCTCAGCAACAAGTCTATGGGCAAATTAACTTCTCTGAGTCCCAAGTCTCTTCACTTCTAAAAAACAAAACAATGGTTTATTATTATGAAAGGAAAAAAATGTTTGCAAAAGTTTCAGTTTCAGGAAGGTTCATAAATGTCCCAAGAAAAAACAGGATCAAGCCGGGCATGGCGTTGTCACACACAGCAACTCAAGAGGCTGAGGCAGGAGGACGGCAAGTTTGAAGCCAGCCAGAACAACTTAGCAAGACCCTGTCTCAAAATAAAAAGGGCCAGGCATGGTGATGCATGCCTGTAATCCCAGCGGCTCAGGAGACTCAGGCAGGAGTGTCACAAGTTCAAAACCAGCCTCAGCAATTTAGCAAGATCCTGTCTCAAAAATTTAAAAAGGAATGGGGATGTGCCTCAGTAGTTATGTGTCCCTGGATTCAATCCCTGGTACCAAAAACTAAAATAAAATGGGTTGGGGACACAGCCTAGTGGTAGAATACTTGCCTAGCCTACAAAAAGCTCTGTGTTAATCCCTAGTACAGAAAGAAAAGAGCAAGAGAGAAAAGGACCTAAATATACTGAATTCAAGTGTAACTCCCTTACTGCTTTCCCCCAAGACATCTGGGCAGATAGCAAGAGCCCTGCCCACGCCTTTGAGGGCATGAGAGATGATGGGGTGATCAGTAGGTGAACTCTTACCTATATCCAGTCCACCCTCTTCCTGGTACCTGACTCCTACTGACTTTTCCACCAGGTGCTGCCTAGCTGTTGACCTGAGTGACAGCTGGAACACCACAGCCTACCTGGCTCCCAGGAAGTCAACCCACACTCTCTCCCACATCATCCTGGGATTGGGACACTCCAAGCCACCTGCCCAAGGCCCATGTGGCTAGGGTGGCTACCCTCTAGGAGTGGGAAGGGAAGGTGTCAGTTTCGTTCTGCACTGATAAGGAGTGCAGCAGACACCATCAGCTCTGGGGAAGAGGCAACTCTCAGCCCACTTACTTTTCAACACACAACACTCAGTCATGAAGGCCACTGTCTTTATTGATCTAAAAAACTTTACAAGGACAGTGACTGTTATGCCAAAAAAGGTGCCAAATGGCATCAAACAGACCAGAGGTGAAGGTGGGGGTGAGGGAAGGGGCCAGGAATCCAATCAGAAAAGCTGGTTAATGATTTCCATGGAACTGGCAGGGGAAAGAAAAAGGGAGTTGCATGCAAGAGCAAAAATTCCAAAAAAGATTGAAATGGTGAGGGGAGAGAACTCCCAAAGACCCTGGAGTACAACAACAGCAATCTTTTCCTTTGTAGAGGACAAGGAGCCCCCACTCAGCTGCAAACTCTGGAGACTTGATAATGGGGCTAGGGATTGAGGGCTCCCCAGAGAACATCACAAGAAGGCGTCACACCATTCTCGAAGGCACCCAAAGCAGTCCCGGGACTGCTTGGCATTGGCACCACATGTGTCCTTCAGCCATTCTCGGAAGAGGTCTTCATCTTTCTTTAGCACCAGAAACTGACCGAGGACGACATATGCCTGCAAAACAGGCAAAATAAAAGGCATGCTGCTGAGTTCTGTGGAGAATAAAAGCAAGACAGCTGTCTACCACCTCACCACCCTGAATGTGCCAGATCCCCTCTGGCCTCTGAAGCTAAGCAGAGTCAATCTTGCTTGATATTTGGATAGGAGAACAATGCCACTTTTGTGACATTTAGAGCACACAAGCCCATGAAGTAGGGCAGGTTCTGCCCCTACTTCATCTCTCCCAGGTAGCCAGTCACTTCGGATTATCCACCACTGTCTACTCCTCCCCCCTAGCTTGTTCCCACTCCCAGTCTGCCCTAAGAAATTGCCATCTCTCCCCTCAGGTCTCCCCTGGTACACGTAGCCAACCCACACCTTGTCAAAGCCCCTTTCCTCAAGCTTCTTGCCCAGGACTTCACCAATCCCAGCCAGGCTCCCCACTGGCTTTTCCCCCATAGGCTCTGCCACGAAGTCTCGATGCTTTTGGGAGGTGGTCATCTTGATCGAGCTTAATCTAGGAATCTCAAGAGAATGCAAGTTAGGGCTGAGGACCTGAGCTCCCAAAGGTTCAAGAGCAATCTCATATTAAAACGTAGGTGGGCCATTATGGTGAAATCCCTCATTTCACAGAGAAAACTGAGAACCAGGGACAATCTCCCTACAATTCAGAAAAGAAATGTCTTCCACTCCCTGGGGGAACTAGGTTTCCGTGCAGTCCCAATAGAAACAATCCAGCTCTAACAGGTGGCGCACGCAGGGCAATAGAAAGACACCCAAAGTCGGTGGCCAGGACGCGCCCTAGAGCTGACACTCTCGGTGACCTTGGCTGCGCAAAGATGACACTGACACTGCTCGAGCAGCCATGCGGTGTGAAAAACCAAAACGGTCTCTGCCTCACCCGCCCTTCACACGGCATTCAGAGCGAAGGCGCAGGCCCGCGGCGCCGACCCCAGCTCGCGCGGCCCCGCCCCCAGCTCGCGCGGCCCCGCGGGGTTCACACCGCCCCAGCCGGCCTCGCCCCGCCCCCTCCACGCTCCGCCGCTCCCACGCGCCACGCGCCGCTCCTCCCCGCGGCCGAACCCTCTCCTAAGGTGCACTCCCTGGCTCGCCACAGCAATGGGGTCCCTTTCCTCCCCTCCTCCCCGCCCTTCCTCCAGCCTCCAGCTAGGGCCCCGCTGGGAGGCTCACGCTCACAGGCAGCTCCGGCTCCAGTAACGGTTGCTCTTGCTACTCGGCCGCTCCCGCCGATACCTCAACCCACTAGAACTTTCTTCGACTTCCGCTTCCGGGTTGTCTCAAGACCCGCCTTAAAAAAGTAATTGGGCACTTCTAGCCGCTGAGGGGCCATAGAGTTGGATTGCCCCACGTCTCAGTCATGTAGTCACTAGCCGCTCTTTTTTGGCCCCTGGCGGAAAGCCACGCTGCCCTCTGTGGTCTCGCTTCTGGGGCTTCTCCTCCAGTCTGAGAGAGAGAAGCTTCCGAACAGGATACTTCCTTTGTTCACTACCCGGTACTTAGAACCCAAGGACTTGGGTCTGACGGACCCCGCGGTAGGACAAGTTAGAGGAACGGACAAAGTAGGGGAAGTGCGGCCGGAAGGTTTTTGAGAGAGCGCCGGAAGTACACGACAGGGTCCGACTCAAACTGATGTCCTCCTTGTAGTTGGACTCGCGGAAATTGGGAACGCCACGATCCGGAGTCCAGAACTGCTGTTCCGTGGTGATCACCGGCAAGTCCCATTTTTGTGCCTTCGTTGGCTCGGCTTTGAAATTTCGAGTCGTGAACTATCCGCTCTCAGCGTCCAGCTGGAAAACAGGGTTGCTTGTGCAGCGCCTGTGGTACCCAAGGGCCAACGAGTAAGTGTGGGTCTTTCCTCCGGGTGAAGGGAGCAGAGGACTGGAGACGGCAATTAGAGACACGTCGGAGTTTCCTCTGGAAACTATCAGTTTCGGTGATACCAGCTCTGGTCTTCCGAGATACGGCAGCTGCCGCAGACCAAGCTTGCTTCACCTCGACCCTTCACGCATTTCTGGCTTGGACAGTCGTGGTGGTCACTGAATTCGTCTCTGCCTGTAGTGTGTTAAGAGATTGAGCATTTGTGTTACGTGGCTGTGCTAGAGATGGGATGATATTCATGTCGAGAAAGGTACAATTTATCTCAAGTTCTCTGAAATATGTATAGTTCCTGACCACAACAGGACTTCTGATAACAGGAGTCATCTCGTGTGATATGCATGCTGGGGGCATTTTCATTATCTTATTTTATAGCAGTGTTGAGTTAGCTATTGTTTTGGGGGGGCATAGAAAAGGTGAGCAGTTTTGTCCTATTATTATTATTTTTAGACATTGATCAAACCCAGTGCCTCAGACACACTAGGCGAGCACTCTACCACTGAGCCACAACCCCAGCCCTTGTCATTTGTTTTTTAATGAGAAGTTGACACTCCTTGCTGCAGCAAGCCTGTAATCCCAGCAACTCCAAAGCCTGAGACAAAAGGATCACAAATTGGAGGCCAGGCTCGGCAACTTAGCAAGGCCCTGAGCAACTTAGCCAGACCCATCTCGGGAAAAAAAAAAAAAAAGCTGGGCATGTAACTCACTGGTAAAGCACTTTTAAGTTCAATCCCCAGTATCAAAAGCAAATAAGCGAATTAAAAAAAAAAAAAAAAGATAAACAGGGAATAGCCAAGGCAGAATTTGAATCTAGGCAGTGAGACCTTGAATCCTTAACCAGGATGCTGTGTCACTCTCCAGTAAATGGCCCCTCCCATCTTCATATCTTCATACAGCCTGGCTTCTGAAACTGTCATCAAAATAACTTCAGAGAAGGAGCTTACGGTATTCTTGTTCCTAACCACCCTGGGACAGGACCCAGCATGTCACAGGCCACCAAGAGGAAGCATGTGGTGAAGGAGGTGCTGGGGGAGCACATGGTGCCCTCTGACCAGCAACAGATTGTGAGGGTGAGTGGCATTGGGCACAGGCTGCTCTGCTCCCAACCCCTCCACTCCATAGGACCCTTGGGGTGGGAGTAGGGTGCATTGCAGCTCAGAGGGTGTTTGTGACTGATAAAGCTGTCTCTTGGTCTTTCTTGGACCAGGTACTCAGGACACCAGGGAATAATCTGCATGAGGTGGAGACAGCCCAAGGGCAGCGCTTCCTGGTGAGCATGCCATCCAAATACCGCAAGAACATCTGGATTAAGAGAGGTGAGAAAGGCAGCCTTCTAGGAGACAGAATCATTTCCTGTGGTCCTGGCTCCCCATTGCAAGCATGCCTTTTCTTGCCTACAGGGGACTTTCTCATTGTTGACCCCATTGAAGAGGGAGAAAAGGTGAAGGCTGAGATCTCCTTTGTTCTCTGCAAGGACCATGTGCGCTCTCTGCAGAAGGAGGGCCTCTGGTAGGATGCCCCTGATCCTTAGTTTTGTGGTTTCTGGGGGATACTGACTTCCTAGCTAGGGAACTGGGAGAGGGAAGAATGTGGCATCCCTGGCAGGGACAGCTGGAAACAGCTCTTTTGCTGAGAGGTTTCTCTGTCCTCTCTGACCTGGCTCTTCTCTTGGCACAGGCCTGAGGCCTTCTCTGAAGTGGCTGAGAAACACAACAGGAACAGGTGAGGAGCACACCCTAGTGTAGGGAAGAGAAAATAGGGTTTTTACCTTTGTCTGGAGAAAGTAGAGCCTACATTTCTCTCTCATTTCTGGTGAGAGTTCCTAAACATGTGGCAGAACATGTGGTTGTGAATATGGCTTGAAAGTTAGATGCCCTGGGTTAAATTCCTACCTTTGCCATTTATAGTTAAGTTACTCTAGGCGTGTTACTTAGTCTTTTAAGATTGTTTTCTCAGATATAAGATAGGAGCTTTGTAAGAAGGAGCTAATGCTTATAAAGTTGCTTAGTACGGTACCTGGCGTGGAATATGGGCCTAGTAAGTGTTAGTAGAATTGTTTTGATTCCTAACTGAAACCAATGGCTGTAGTAAACTTTTGGGGTGGGGGACAGTGTTTGTTTTCCCACTATTGGCTCTGACTCTCTGTCTCTTCTTGTGTTTTTTAAGGAACTGCTGCTTTCTCTCTCTCTCTCTCTCTCTGGAACTGCTGCATTTTTAAACACCTGTGTGTCTGACTGCTTGGCCAAATGATCCTCCTTTTTGGGGACTCCTTGGTTGCAGATTTGATTTTCCTAGAAGGTATTAGGCTGATTCTTTCTGCTTCCTCCATGCAGACAGACTCAGCCAGAACTCCCAGCTGAGCCACAGTCATCAGGAGAAGAGTCTGCCTCTGAAGATGATTCTGACCTCTTTGTTAACACCAATCGCAGACAGTATCATGAGAGTGAGGAGGAGAGTGAAGAGGAAGAGGTGGCCTGAGACTCTGGGATCCACTTTTCCACTTGCTCAGGGACTACTCCCAGGCTCCTCTGGGCTTGGACATTCCCAGGGTGCCCTGCAGATCTTTACCCCTGGATGGGGACAAGGCAGGACCCTCTTGAACTGACCTTTTGTCCTAGGAGAATTAAACCCCTGGTGGGTGGTGACTTGTACTGGTGTCTGAGTGGCTCTCTGTGGGAAGGGAGAATTGTGGTAAACTAAAAACCTGCTTCTTGGTAGAGGCCTTGGGGCTTGTGGCCAGATGGGGGAGGAAATGGGAACTGGCTGAGTCTTTCCCAAGTGATTCACTGACACACACTTATTGGGCATTTAGAAAGTGCCAGGCCCTGTGCTGTACCTCCTTTTGTGTGTTTCACAATTAGGAACAGTCCTACTTCCTAGCCTCTTGCAGTTAACACCGATATAAGCATTCAAGGTTGTAGCAAAGGACCTATGCCCACACACCTGCCTCTATAGATGCTCTGGATGAATCCTGTGGTGCCTTGTGAGCTGCTTCCCCAGCCTTTCTAATCATTCCTACCACTGCTGCTGTGCATCCCCTCGTTAAACCATATCTTTCTTGTACTTTTAACTTTTCATCACCTCCAGAACATCTGCTTTGTGGTCAGTGAACCTCTGTGTCTTAACCATCTCCTGATTCCATTTTAAAACTGGGTTATTCCCTGATGATATGACTGTCATAACCTTTCCACCCACACACCTGCCTCAGTATCAGGGATGGAACCCAGGGCCATATGCATGCTAGGCAAGTGCTATGCTATTGAGGTACATCTCAGCCCTATATAATTCTTTAAAAAGGTGGGGTGTTGCTAAGTTGCTGGGGCTGGCCTCAAATTTTCAATCCCTCTGCCTCAGCCTCCCTGAGTAGCTAGAATTACAGGCACGTACCACTACACCAGGCTGTGGTATAACTTTGTGTGTGTGTGTGTGTGTGTATGTGTGTTGTATAACTTTTTAAATGGAGGCTGTGTTCTCACCCTCGCCCTTTTCCTTTGTGCATCAGCACCAGAAGTAGGGTTGGTGGCCTCCTTATGACTTTCTTATAATCCTCTTGCCACAGCCTCCCTAGTAGACGTTGACCCTCTTGGAAATCCTGTGATCCCTCTTCTTAGAAGCTTTTGCCTCTAACTGTCCTCTCCCCCTTATGATTGGCATTGTCCTAGGCATCAAAGAGTTCACATCCTTCCGGATGTGGTGGCTCACGCTGTAATCCTTCCCAGTGGTTCAGTAGGCTGAGGCAGGAGGATCACGAGTTTAAAGCCAGCCTCAGCAAAAGTGAGGTGCTAAGCAATTCAGTGAGACCCTGTCTCTAAATAAAATATAGAATATGGCTGGGGAAGTGGTCGAGTGCCCCTGAGTTCAATCCCTGGTATTAAAAAATAAATAAAAAAGAGTTCACATCCTGGCTTAGTCTTTCTCCCTGCTGGGTCAGAGCATCCCCGCCATGATGGAGCTTTTCAGCACTTTATCCCTGGTTCCTTGAGATCTTCAGCCTGAATGTCCTTATCTTCTATTCTATCTTGCTTTCTACACCCCTACTTGCTCCCCGAACCTTTGATATCACTAAATATTGCAGTATTTTCAGAATTTAGATAACCTGTGCATTTACCACTTCCTAGCTTTCTTAGCTACCTCCTCTACAAAAGTTTTCTATCCTTATTTTCAATCCTAATATTCCTACCATTAACCTTCTGCCTTCACTTTCCTCCTTTTGTAGTGTGGGGTTTGTTGTCCACACCTTCACTCCTCTGTCTCTGCCATTCCTTTCATCTAGTAAAATTCTAACCCTGAGTGAACCTGGTCATTCACCTCTATGCTTGAACTCCAGGCACTTGGGCCAGAAAGCAGTCAGCCTGGCCCATTCATTGTACCTTAAATGAATCCCTCCAAGCCTAAATGGACACTAAGCACTGCCCAGCCGGTCTACTCTGGGGTGTCTAAAACTTAAATCCTCCTTCCCTGGTAGTTGCAGGCTCATACTTCATCAAGAAGCAGTAACCTTTTGGGGAAAACTCACCCATTCACCAACTCCGCAAGTATGCTCCGGTTTACCTCTTGTTGTAAGCCACTGGGCCTTCCTTGAGCTCTGCAGCTGTCCTTAAGGACTCTTATTTTGTTTCTTCAGGATGTTTTTTGGTTATTACTGGAGGTGTAAGCGACACATACACTGTAAGATATCCCATTTCTGAAACAACCAGAAGGACTTTACCAGTCTCCACATTCTCTGTAGCTCTACCTCATTTTTCTGCTTCTCACGCACATTCTCTTGTTTTGGCCTTGAATACATATGTATATATACATGTGTAAAATGATGTACGTGTGTATACAGAAATCAGATGAATTCAAGATATATCTTCACACAGATACAGAAATTCATCTGAAGTGTTTTTTTTTTTTTTTTGAAGTTTGGGGGTTTTTTTTGGGGGGGGGCGGGTAACCAGGGATTGAATTCTGAGGCACTTGACCACTGAGCCACATCCCCACCCCTGTTTTGTATTTTCTATTTAGAGAGAGTCTCACTGAGTTTCTTAGGACCTCGCTAAATTGCTGAGGCTTTGAACTCTTGATCCTCCTGTCTCAGCCTCCCAAGCCACTGTGATTACAGGCATGTGCCACCATGCCCGCCTTCAAGTTTGTTTTTTATAGGATGTAGAGAGCTAACTTTTTTCCTAGAAGAGTCATTCAGATATAAAATTTATTGAATCATTGATTCCTCATTGGAAGTACCTTTTTAAAAATTTCCTGCAAGCTGGGTGCAGTGTGTCACATGTTTATAATCCCATCCACTCGGGAAGCTGAGGCAAAAGGATTGTGAGTTTGAGGCTCGCCTGGGCAATAGAGCAAGTCCCTGTCTCAAACTCCTACATGTATTTGGGTTTCTCTTTGAGATGTCTGATCAGAGGGTCCATGTGCTCGTGTCATGTATTGCCGTGTGCTTAGGACCTGGGATGCAATTCCCCTGCCCCCACCCTTGACCATTTTGCATTTTCTCTTACATAGAACTTTAGAATGAGCTTGCCAATTTTTCATGTAAGAGTCTGGTTGGGATTTTCGTTGGCATGGTTTCATGTAGTCTGATTTAGGAAGAAATGGTTATCTTAGCGGTTTTGAATCTTCCTCTCCAGGACTGAGGTAGGTATATGTGTTCTTTTGTAAAGTGTGGGTATTCTCATATGGGCCTTTTACATTTCTAATTTGATTTAGTCTTAGGAATTTTGTAAAATTATTTGTTACTTGTTATGAATTCCTTATTAATGGGATCTTTTTTTTTGGGGGGGGGTGGTACTGGGGATTGAACTCAGGGGCACTTGACCACTGAGCCACATCCCCAGCCCTATTTCGTATTTTATTTAGAGACAGGGTCTCACTGAATTGCTTAGTGCCTAGCTTTTTGCTGAGGCTAGCTTTGAAATCGTGATCCTCCTGCCTCAGCCTCCCAAGCCGATGGGATTACAGGCATGCACCACCACACCCTGTATGAATGGGATCTTTTGAAATGACGTTTCTGACTGTCACTAGCATATAGGAAAGCTTTGTTGCTTAATTCATGGATCTAATTGAACTCTGATTTGTTCTAATAATTCTTCAGTTGATTCTCTTGGCTTTTTAGTCAAAGTCATGTACTGCTAGTAGCATCTTTTATCTTACCCTTTACCTCGGTTTCTTCTCCTTGTGAGTCACAGAGACCAGGGCCTCCAGGGTGTCAAATGGCACCCATAATTGTTTCTTAGTGGGAATGGTGCTCTCATTCAACATGAGATAGGGTCCTTGCTTTAGGCATCTGGTGGATTTCTTTCATTAGCTGAAGGGTTCCTTCTGTTCTTAGATTATTGACATGTATTTTCCCCATTTTATTCAACAATGATGAATTTTGACATCTGCTGAGATAATCAAATTATTGTATTAATGTACTAACTTGCCTAATAGGTTTCCTAAAACTTGCCTAATAGGTTTCCTAATGTTGATACTAGGGAGGGAACCCAAGGATCTTTATTCACTGAGCCACATCCCCAGCACTTTTTTGTATTTTATTTAGAGACAGAGTCTCCCCGAGTTGCTTAGGACCTCACTAAGTTGTAGAGGCTGGCTTTGAACTCATGATCCTCCTGCCTCAGTCTTCTAAGCCACTTGGGTCACAGGCGTGCGCCCACACCCAGCAATCCTGCTTATTTTTATTTTTTTGTTTTAGTGGATTTTCTGGTGCTGGGAATTGAACTCAAGTGCACACCACCACTGACTATATCCAGAGAGCCCATTTTATTTTGAGACAAGGCCTTATTGAGTTGCTGAGGTTGACCTCAAACTTCTGACCTTTCTGCCTCAGCTTTCTGAATAGTTGGGGCTGAGATCAAGTGCATGCAGTTGCAAACCCTGCTTAGTTTTGCATAATTCAGTATATTATTTATTTACTTATTTAGGACTTTTGTGTCTATGGGCCAATTTCACTTTTTTTGGGGGGCGGGGTGTGCTGGGAATTGAATAGGGTGCTTTACCATTGAGCTAAATCCCTAGGCCTTTTCTTTTTTCCTAATATATATATATATTTTTAGTTGTCAATGGACCTTTATTTATTTATATGTGGTGTTGGGAATGCAACCCAGGGCCTCATGCATGCTATGCAAGCACTCTACCACTGAGCCAAAACACCAGCCCAATGCCCAGGCCCTTTTATTTTTTCTTTTGATATAGGGTCTCACTGAGTTGCTTAGGGCCTTGAATAAGTTTGGAGACATTAAATCATCCTTAGACTTGAATAAATGATAGTTTCTTCAGAATTTGGTAGGACTTATTAGGTGTGTCCAGAGTGTCAAATTCCTTAATTTTAGGGGCAGATCTCTGCCTTTCAAGATAGTACATTTCATTAATATTTAACTTTTGGGGCAAAATATCATGCATAATATTTGTATTATTTAGGATCTCTTACCTGTAAATGATAAAAAAATCACCTTCTTTAGCAGAAGCCAGTGAGAGTTGTTCACGTGATGTTGAGGAATGGTGCCTGGAGCAAAGCTGTCAGAGGCCAGCATTTCTCAGAGCCGTCTCTGGCTTCAGCTTGATGGATCCTTTTGCCTCCTACAGATGTTTTCTGCAGGAAGCTCCAGTTTATACACAGCCTGCATAGACAGAGGCCCTTCCTTGAGGATCCCTGTGA